CAGCCCAAGGAAGTCAAGCTAAGACTGTGACAGGTGTTAGCAGCAACTATATTCTTCATACATTAATGGGGATATGGCGGCGCTAGCAGAAAACGTCGAAGCTGCAACACCAATCCGCTTAAACATGTCGTGTAATGTTCTGACCTTGAATATTCAAATCATCAAAGTAATCAACCGTTGATTTGAGAAAGAAAGGCGCACAAGTAAGTATATTTCAAATGACCATGTAAAACCCTAATACTCTTTCGAAGAAACTTCATTTCTGTCATCTATATTTTTGGATCACACTCATTGCTACAATTGAAAATGATGCGGGAGGAGGCATATAAACTTGGATGCGAATAAATTTCTACGACAGCTGGCGTTCTAAAAGGCGTCTCTTTTTACAAATTGAAAAGGAAGGTCTTCTTGTTGCAAAATGCATTGAAAAAGTTGAAAGCATCGCCACTGAAACTATTCACCTTCTGAGAGCTGCGTATAATGTGACTCGAAGAAACAGTGATTGCAGCAGACCTCCGAGCGGCTCTGCGAGGGGAGGATTCATTCCGATATCCGTTTTTAGACTTGTGTGTATGCAAAGATGAGACGCATCGCAGACCGATTGTGCAATTTTATTCCTCACATTGAATTGAATTGTTAATAGCTGACATGAAACAAGTCCCATGTCCAAAAATGACCATTCACTTGTCGAAGTTATCATTTCAGTGGTACTGTTCAACGGCAGATTGGATCTCATTTTAGATAATCTTCAATCACTACTTTCGATCAACGCTCCCCATCTCGCAATGTTATGACTGGTACATGGCAACAGTTTTTAACAAGGTCTGTACCGCCTGCTTGATCAGAAAAACGCTAGAAGGTGGGCATGAATACACAGCATATCCTTAACCCATTCTCTAGTGCTGAACAGCAATGGGTTGCATCCTTTTCTATGGAACATGACAGATATTCCCACAGAGAAAAGATACCCAATCGTCGTGCGGTGGATATATCGACCTTTTGTTGACAAGTGAAGGTGGGCGGAGCTTAACTGTCGCGCCGCGCGACAGATGAACACGTAGCGTCGCGTCACGTCATATGCAAATTTTTGGAAATTTTAAAGTTGGCACGAGTTCAAATCCTCATTGCTGTCGTGATCACCCGTCCGTGCGGTGAGTTAGTTTTCCCGGTACTGAAAAATTGTTCTTGAAAGGAAGTATTGGTGGTGAGAGGTAAAGAAGCATTTCTGTTCATTCTTTTTTTGATATGTTCCCTAATTAAACATTTAAAAAACATTTGCATACGCCAGTTGACAAAAAAATAGTTCCTTGTAAGAAAACCTTGCAGACAAGAGAATCTTCAGTTCGTTGAGTTTAAGCAAAGTGGCTGAGGCAATCGCTGGAAATTACATCCGGCAAATGCAGGTAGTTTTGAAGATATTTTTTTCATTGCGGTCGCCATCCTCTTCTATCTTATTGTGTCTTCAAAAAACTGTACACCAGTTCAGCATTTTAAACACAAGGGAAGAACGGCACGTGCTTCAACTTAATGTGCAAGAGGTTAAGCTGGCTTCTTGAATCAACCACCCGTGCAACGATACCATTCACAACAGGGCAATTTTGTGCCAATTATTTCTAAAATAATTTAAATTTATACAATTGCTGAAAGCAATCGTTTCCCATCTAACTCCGTTTTAAATTTTAGTCAATGTGGCAGTTTGAGACAATTTCATGTGCAACAGTTTTTACTTCAAATTGAAATGAATGGAAATGGAAAGTTTTTATGAAATGTTTTAATCTTGATCTGCCGAATATTAAACGACGGTAGTTACTTGAACCACCTTTCTATTTAAAACGGGCCTTGGTGCTACCCTAATCTCCGTTTCACTGCGATCAGCCAATAGTGCAGAATTCGCATTCGTTTTCGAGAAAAAAGTTTCCAATTTTTTGTAGCCGTTATAATCGGAACTTCTTGCTTTCCTCTCACATGGTGGTTCCTTATTCTTGTGCTTCAAAACAGGTGTGACTTCCTAACCTGAGTTTATCATAAAAGAAGGGCGGATTCTGTGTGCTTGTATTCTTTTGGAGGCGGTTTAGCTTCGTCCGAAAAAAATGTGATTCGCCGATTTTGTTACCTCTTCTTATTCGGATTCATTTGTGCTCAATCTAGTCTAAATATACTTTACGCCCGTTAGTACATTTAATATAGTGTTTTTTAATTATTTAACATTCCTAATTTATCCATTTTTTGCTAAAATTCAAATAATTTTCTTTCATCATTACGTCATGTGCATAAAAACATATTTCGTGTCAGACATAAGTCGTTCATTAGTTTTTCAGTCGCGGCGGTAAGCCTTAGTACGAATTTATTTACTGAAACATTCGGGTTTCCAAACATGCATCAAGAAAACAATCGATTGGCCCAGAATCATTGTTAAGGAAATTCGCTAAGCTTGAGCAGTGTATTTTTGCAGTTGCCAATGTTAACTTTTTATGGGATTGCACATCTCGTCAACTTGTCTCTCTAGAAAATGGATCGTGAATTGGAAAAAAAATGTGAAGAATTCAAACGTTTTCAACCGAATCAGAGCGTCATAGTTCCGAATAGAATTTTCGTACGAGGATTTTCGCATGAGGTAAGAAAAACTGGCTTATGTGGCCTTATTAATTGGTTGCTTCAGTCCAAAGTTAAGCGTATAATCGTTTATGAAATTATTTTATAATACAGATGGGGTATGCTCTACTCAAGTTGGGAAATTTTTAGAGATGTTTTTCCTGTCAATTCGCTTCGACGCTAAAATTCAGCATCATCGTCATTACAGAAAATTATAAATCTTATGCAGAATTTGAAACTGATTTAGTAGAAATCATAGCTGGCAACCCTAACTCGACAATACCTCAACGTATTGCAGAGTCATTCTGTGATTAAATGAAAAAAAATCGTGTCGTTTGCCGTTCAGTTTGCAGCTCTGTCTCCGCGTCTAAAAATGTTCTTGTTTCAGACAACGAGCTGCGACCTCAGTGAATATTTTTCAACATACGGAACAGTCAGTTCGGTAAAAATCTTTCGTTCGAGTATGGCAAAAAAGTGAGTATTAAACTGTAAGAGACGATTTTGTATGTTTGCTAATTTGCGTGTTGTAGTTCTTTCGCTTTTGTCACATTTGCAGACGAAGCGGCGGCGAAGAAAGCACTGATGGTGAGTTTGGTAGAAGATCGAAGGTTTGATCCACGTAAAACGGTTCACCTTTTTAAGGAGGGGACGCCGCATGTTTTAAAAGGATTCAAGCTTGTCGCAGATCAGGCATTTCGAAAGAAAATTCCTCCTTCACGCTCTGCTGATGCACAACCGTCAAAGAATCCGCACCCACAACCTTTTTACGAAGACCAAATATCAAAGAAGATGGCTGACATCAACCTGAAGTCACGATATTCTACGGCAGTAAACACGGCATTGCCACCGGTAAAGTAACCTAACATAGCTTAGTGTACTGTTACTAACATTCGATCCGGGTTCCTCAATATTATATATAATTTTTCATGACTTCAGTACCATGAGTGGCAGGTGGCTAAATTTTACGGTGACTTCACCACGGTCTCCAACCCTCCTCCTTTCTTAACCGGGCTTCAGATTGGCAACGGCGGAGTTAAATGCGTCATCGGGCTAACATTATTACTGAATAAATTTTATTTGAAATTGTTTAAAGCTAAATTATTAACACGGCTTTGGTTTCTGTTAGCTGGAGAATTATCATGGTTATGAATCATTCATGCATTTGGTGCCAACTTGTTGATTCGGTCTAAAATATAAAAGAACCTTAAAATTATTGCTCAGTTTTGCTGAAACGGTTGAAATGGGATTCTCTTATGCGATTCACTCTGCTCACGCTTCTCTACAGAATCTGGCGTTCAGATGTCTGAATGAGAGTACTTTTGATGCAAAGTCGCTGCTTCTCCAAATTGAAAAGTCACAACTGCAATCGTTTAGGTACGCTTCGCAAATGCTATCAGAAATGAACACGAAACAGTTAGTACTTTCCCAACCGACAGCAGACACCAAGGAGAGTAACATCTTGAGATAAGGGTTCGGAAAGACTAGGGTTTTCTTCTGCCGAAGCTCAAACGATGGTACTGAATTTGGAAGGTGCTTCCGTAACCCAATAAGATTAGGGTTTATCGAAGTTGAGTGAGTGATTACATTTTTGGATTAATGAATGTCTGATTAATTATATGTAGTAGCATTTTCGAATATGATGAGAATACATAATTTGACTTAGGATTGCACCAGTGATCAACCAGCAGAGGATTTTTTGCGCAACGAAACGCCTACCGGTGGTAACGTTGAAACACCTCGTCAACAGTATTGGACTCCGAATGCTGAAGCAACTGTGCTGATTCCTCGGCAGAACATTTGGCTGCCTTTCCTTAACTCGTCATTCGCACCAGTTTCACATCCAGTTCCCGATGAACAGCCGGAGCGAAACCTTGTAATTTTTACATTCCTTCAAGGACCATGCTGAGGTTTGACTTTTAGACGTCCCATGAACTGCTGGTTTCTTGTACGATCGAGTGCCAAGAAGTTCTTAACGAAGTGTTCAGTTCATATGCCCAACAATTGCAAACGCATTGCATCGATTTGATGAAAACTTATACGCAGTATTTCTTCGACACTGTTGAGGTAAATTTCAGACTGCTTTTATGTAGTAGATCTTTCGGCATCGATTGATGCGTCTTACTCCATAGCTCTGGCGCCAAAACTTAAATTTCTAATTTTAAGAAGTTGTATATTTTGACGGCATGCAGATATCATGTTCATTTGATAATTATCTTAGTGAAATATATACATATAATTTTTAACAACAGAAGGCTTCGTTAGATCTCGTTGTCTAGATGATGTGATTAATATGATAAGACTGTTTTGAGCTTTCGACAGAGCTAAACTGTCCCAAAAACAGCATTAATGAAACTTTAAAGTCTTGTTAATTTGAATATTTTAATGCGAGGAATTTAATGTTGCTTCATTTGTTAACCATCCGTCTCTTTTGATTGCATTCGTAAGAATCACGCTTAAGATGGTCACTAAATAGCAATAACGTTGAGATATAAGATGAAAGTTATTTTCATATATTTTGCGTTTTCAGAACCCATCTGAGGTGTTGACTCACAAAATCACATTTAAGAAAATTTGACCGATGTATTCAGCATTTCTCTTGGGGATAGAACGCGTGCATTTTAAGGCTTAGTAAAAAGCTATCACATCATAGAAATTGGTTCATACGCCTGCATCGCCTGATGTCTAAAATTGTTTTGGACTGCTACCGTACATTTCAGAGCATCGGGAATATGTTTCTAGCTTATGACAAGTGTGCTGATCGTTTCGTGGTAGAGTCGGGATTTTGCCGATGGCTGACGTCAGCATGACATCGTTAGTTAGACAGACATGTGAAATAGAAAGAGTTAAATGATCATCTTTCCCTATGTGCTTTAACGGCTATAAGAATCAGTATAAGTAGCATTACAAAACCAGTTACTATATTTACCCAAACATCCACCGGTCTTTAGCTTTTGAAAAAATTATTCTGTATTAAGTTCCGAATGACGCGATTTCGTCATATTTTGATGCCGTATCATAAAAGCTTGTACCAATCTTGGAGGTCGGCGAATCTCAGTCTGGCAGTAACTCAATGGTTTGAGAGGATGACAAGTTCTTCAGGAGTTCAAAACTGTTCACCGCAATTCTGTGGAGTCGTGTTTCCAGACTACTGTCATCACTTTAGTAGTCTTTAAGTCTATAAACTTTTAGTCTGTATTTTGGATAAGGATGCCTACTTGTTCTGCCAATTTTATTTCTTCTGGAGAAATCACATTATTTATTATGTCATATGCCTATGGCAGATTAATAACATAATCAGTCTTGTTTAATCTTTCATGTTTCGTTAATGGTAAATAATCGATTATTCTGTTTCGAACAAAATAACGTAACAATTTGAAGAACTTGACGTTGTGAAATACTTACATCTGATAATTCCTGTTCTGATAGGACCAGGTTTTGGTTGAAGTTTCTAGATTTTATCAACCAAGTAAAGCAATCGATTGATTGCTATTCCCATACTTTTATAAAAATAGAACGTTTGCCAATGTTGGAACACTAGTCTTCCTTCACTTTCATAATTGGGCTATTTTAGTACATTTCTTTTCATTCAGTTGCTGGTACCGTTCTGATCTGATCTCTCTTTCTATACTGTCAGCTAGGAGTGCCTTATTTTCTAAAGCAGAGTCTGTAACCAAGTGGTAAGCTTACTGTATGTTTACCTACTCATTCTCACAGACGGATACTCATTTATCAACCTTGGAAGAAGAAAGGCCGAGTGACTATGACGAGGGCTCGAACTTGGGACCAATCGTTCTGACTCTTTACGAACTGAGCATTCCCGGTCCCGGTCTACTTTTGTAAGCGAATGTCAGCAGTCTGATGTTATGTAAAGGTGATAGTTCTAGTCAACAGACTTACTCTTGACCATCTGCCTTATAGCTGTCATCTTTGACATGTAGTAACGAAATCGCCAGTTTCCTTACCCATGTATTACACTTTTTGTCCTGTGAATTAGGAAGACTGCTAACGAGGTCTCTTCGAAAGTATCTGATGCCATCGCAAACCTGTTTCCCTCAAAACTGGAATCTACCATGCATAAATATGTCAAGTAATAGTTTTCCGTTGTTGATGTGTCTTGGTCTTGATAATTTGCTCCAATCTAATGGGCAGGGAACGCATCTGATTTTAAATGTGTCTAATTTGT